AAACAAAGTGCCCTCTAAATGCTTTTAATTGTCCACTTTTCTATATAAAAATCATTATAATTGCACACCAAAAGGATCTCAATTTTCAAGAAATTTCTTTATTAAGGCGCCTTACTCCATTTAAAGCAAAATATTACCGACTAAACAAATATCTCTCCTAATAAAGAAGGCAAATAAACTTCGCAAATAGAAAATTTAATTTATGGCGAAAGGCAGCACCACGAAAATTGCTGGCTCAGAAGAAGTACATAATTGCACATAATGGATATAAATCTCTAACATTGTAAATCAAGTAATTTAAATGCGTGCATAATTCCGCCAACGAATGCGGAACCGCTTCAACTGCGCCAATGTTGCCACATGATTACCTTTTAGTTTCCTTTTAAGAATGTATCATTTTTCAAAAATATAAAATAACCGCAAATTCACAGTGAATTGCAGCAAAACGTTTGCTACAATTGCAGAATTTATGAGCCATAAAAATGATCGAATGTACAACAAATCACTGCAACAAATGCAACATGCCAACAACACCAACAACAACAGCAACCATAGCGCATGAATGCAACTATGCGTGCCACGCAAATGTGGCCGCCACTAAATTAGAATCTTTTCTCGGGAACCTAAATTCAAATGGGAAAATTGTGGTTAAATGCTAATAAAAACGGAAAAATAGGCCCGAAGCAATTTTCACTTTGAAATTATAGACTTTGACTTGTTTGATGTTTGACGATGAGGAAGTTGTTGTAATGGTTGTTGTTGTTTTTGTTGTTTTAGTCGTTGATGTGGAGGTGGCACATTCTTAACGATTCCACCGTCAATGACTGAAAAATGTTGTATTTTTGTTGACGTAAATTTATATTACCAACAAAACGCTGGATTCTATTTGATTTATATGCAAGAGAAATTTCTCTAATAGTTAATTGATAGGTGTAATTACAAATCAGAAATATTTTAATAACCACTTGAAATATCTCTAAAAGATTTATGTTAAGCATTCAAAATAGAATATAAAATAATGTTGATTTCTTCATTTTCAAATTTCAACGTAATACATTACTCTCCTCCAATAGTTAATGGAGCTTTGTTGGCTTACAATTTGTTTGACCCACAATTTTGAAGTTTATAAATTATAAACCTGAAAATTGTTTTCCATAAACCAAACAGCTTCCTAGCGATGAACTGAAGAGTCAACCGTGCAACCGGAACCGTTTTCAGTCGGACATCCTTTAACGTGGTTGATTGTGCTATTTGACCGAACGGTCGAACTTGCAACAGACCAGCCAACAACAACAGTCAATAAAAGTAACAACAAAGTAAGCACAACCGGCAACAACTGCAATTCACTGCGTTTTCGCTTCATATTTGTGGTTTTCGCTGTCTTTGGCATTGGCAGATTGCATCCGCCCCAGCGATGACTACCACAAAATACCACAAAATCAAAATAAACTGACAATGAGAGAGAAGCACTGCGATTGCCGGTAAGCAAAACATTTATGGTATTGCCATTTCTCCAGTAAATAGTTTATGCTATAGCACTTTAATTCCTTTGCTGTATTTTTAATTATAATTTTTCACAATTTTCTTTAAAATTAATAAATTTATTCTGATTTTAACATTGAGACACACTTGTATGTGAGATTTTAATTTTTTATTTCTATGTATTGTTTGGAACTCGCCATTGGGTGTTAAATACGACATCATTCAAATGTCTTCCACATAACATCCTGGTCTACTGGATTCTTTCGAGATCCAGTAGGGTGAAAGTTAGTAGGGTGTCTTATTCACACTACCAAAACGTAAATTCCGTGATTGGGTTTCTTGCAAAACAAAATTAAAACACATCGTATAGAATGATTTATTAAATCTTTCTATCGAAACCACGTATGTCTACATCCATGTCTTTGCGCAAGTAATTGGTAGTCCTGTGGCAGTAGCGATTAAAATTAACAGCTTCTGTCGCACATTTATCATTATCAATGATCTTTCAAGAGTTCGTCTTTTGATGTTGAATAAATTTAGTTTATCTTCAACACTTTCAGTAACTGCAACAATATTTATAGTTTATTCAACTTTCTGAACAATTTGACATATAGTGCGCTAAGATAAACGAGAAACCCTCATTGCATCTGTTAACCAGTAATATGTTAGGTTAGATTGTACAGGTGTCCACTTATGTTTGTTGGCCCATTGTGTTGCCATATAGCGATTACGACTTTTAAGAAACATCTTCAACATTAGCAAAGCCTAAAATGCTCATTAAAGGTAGGTCATGGGGCTAGTCAAGAACCTCAAGAAAACACCACTAACGTAGTTAATCGACGTCACGCATGCGCAGAACAGCAACAAAGCAAATGTGAGACCCTTTTAATTCAAATGATTAAACAAATTTTCTCAATTTTCCAGTATGGCTTGCTAGAACCATACAGATCAGAGATGTGCTAAATGGCTGTGATCTATCACAGCATCACAATGAGATTATTAAATTTTTTTATAGATCTTTCAAATTTTCCAAATGATTACCTGAACTCTCTGCTCAGGAACTATATTACCCTTAACTATACCTCGTTGACCATATCTCGTAGCCGAAAGAACTGAAACCAATAACATTCAATCACATAACTAAAAGGAAAGCTTAGATTACCTTAAACTTCTTTAAATCCATTTTTACGACTTTTTTTGTTTTCTTCTCGATTTCTAATCTTGTGCCTTAATTACTTTTCCAACACATCACGAACATTTCTACGTTTCACTTCACCAACTTCGTTGCCAGATTGTCGACAATATGGAATAATCCATGAGGACGACATATCATTTATCAATAACAATGACAACTTTAATCCAAACTCCTTCCTTCTGCATCGTAGCCATCATTTCTATCTCATGCGATATTCATAGCATTTCAACGATATCAACACCAACACCAACAAAAAACCAAAAACAGACACAGAAACAGAAAAAATGTTGTCAAATCATGGCAACAGCTACAGCAACAGCAACAGCAACAATAACTACTAATAACAACAACAACATTTGAAAGCAGCAAAATGAAGTTGAAGTGCAGTGCAAAATGCAACAACAACAACAACGATGAAATTCGCGCGTTTGTTAACAATTTTACAAATTTTTATTTTGACATTTGTCGTAAGGGAGTTGGAAGTGAAATGTGGGCTGTGGGCTGTGGGCAATGGGCTGTGGACTGTGGGGAAAGTGCATTGCGGCATCGGAAATAACAGAAACGTTAAATGAAAGAATGCATGTGTTTACAATGTAAACTTTATATGAAACACAGACCAAAAAAAAGAAAAAAAATAATAAAAATAATAAAGCAGAAAACATGAGACGAAAAAAAAAAAGCGAAATATGCTCGTAATTCATGTTGTCACATTTGTAGGAAATGTCAGTCTGTCTCTTGCTGTTGTTGTTATTGTTGATGCTGTGCTGTGCTGCGCTTCAGATGCGCTTTTTGCTATGTTTATAGTTGTTACAGCTGTTGTTGTTGTTGTTGTTATAATTGTTTTGCAAACTGCATGCGTTATATGCGTTACATGCGTTCAACTTGAACTTGTCTGTGCATTTGCGCGCTTGTGATTTGAGGTCGCCTTTTAATCATTGTAAGAATAAATTACACACAGCAAAACGCTTTCATGTAAATATTCGTATATTTTGTAAATGTCGAAAATCTTACAAATTTATTCTTAAATAATTTCTGCATCGTCTCTTTCGTCTTCGACTATTAGTCGTCACATTCGTGGTCGGCGTTCATTTATTAAATTGCTTTCAGCTTTGATTGCCTTTAATGTACCGGAAAAATGTAGAACGCGAAAGTCGTTAATTTTACCGAAATCATTGCCAACTGCGATGGATGTGCTGTATAGAAGCATTTTTTTTCTAAATTTATTTTTATTGACTCTTTATCGCTGTACAAATAACATTTTAAAAAGATTTATTTTACTGCGGTTCCTATTTATTTCGTATCTCAGCTTAGCACCTCATAATTTTGATACGCGTGGGTTTCATCTGTGCATACTGCGTATATTCTCGTAGAAATATTAACCGAAATTGTAGTACCTCATTGAAATTCAAAGCACAAAAAGTGCAGAAAAATTAGAAAAAACACAAACCGCAAAATTTATTTACATTTCCAAAAATAAATAAAAATAATTTACAGCAAAATTTAGCAACCATGTAATGGCAAAGGCTCCTAAAAGTTAATCTCATATGATGAGGTTACTCTTTACATAGCAAATTCTCAACAAAACAGCTTCAATGCAGCATACATAAGGTAAAGAGCGGTAAGGAGTGAAGAGGTTAAATTACTGATAAAAAACTCTACTAAATAAAAGAAGTATTTTATTTCAAAATTATGGACAACGTACATTTTCAGTATTTAATATGCAAAAAAATTGTGCTAACGTGGCACGTTCCAAGAGTAAATAAGGGAAATCAACAATAATAACTCACTTTTATATAATGACCACATTTATTTTTTACTTTAACTGTATATGGATTACATATCCTCTGAAAAGGCAAGGAAGGATTTTGTAAGAAAATCTATATATAAACACGAAGTTGATTTTCAATGTTGTGTAAAGTTGAACTTTCTAACGAGTGGGCTTTAATACCGAAACTGCGTATATACCAAATAATGTTTAACATTGATTGGATCATTATCCATTGAATCTTTCTTCGAATCAATGGACTTATAGTGACACCAGTTAAAAGTGTAATTAGGATAGTCTCGGTGTTGTTCTCTCTTAATGCTTAGTACTTATTTGAGGAAGTACAGCCAGTGATACATGGTAGTAACACATATTGGAATTATAAACAATGAAGGAAAATAGAATCTTCTTTGAATCTTAGCTAAAGAAGATAAGGTTCTTAGCACTTATCTGAGGAA